AGTTAACCCATCATTGTACATTTCTAAACATACTTTTCCATCAGCAGTGCGATATGATTGACAACAATAACAATCAGAGTTTGACACAACAACAAAATAGTATTAGGCATACCATTGACACAATTATTTGTCTAATTTTGAAAGTGGGCTTACTTTTCGTCCGTCCAAAATATATATGTTTTTAAACTAAATGCATATAATCCCTGCCTGAAATAATTTCCAGTTATCATTGTCTTCTATTCATTTATAAGCGAGTGAAACATTAAGCCTAAAACGAAAGAAAACAACGAACAAAAATTCCAGTGAAACAGACGAATCCAGTATCAGTATCAAATATTGATAGCATGTGCCATTCTTCTGAATTTAATTTCCAGTTTTGGCAACAGCGGATAAATGGTTAGCTCTCATCGCTCCGATTCCACTAGCGGACGGACCGTCCGTCTAAGTCTGCCTTAGCTTCTTATGTGAGCTTTAACCAATCCTAATATTTTCCAGTTAAAGGCACCGCCTTCGCTGCCTCGTTGTCTCCTCTAAAATCACCCTTAGGTAGGACTTAGCTTTAAATAGGTAGACAATATTAGAGAGATATATGATTCATTACCCATCCATTATATAATTCGTGTTCTATTTCATTCGCAGAGAACACAGCATATGAGCAAATTCGTCTAATCAAGGCGGCATCTAGGCACAAAGGTACCTGGCAAGCTGGCTACTACTCCTTCGGCACATCCATTTCCCAGAAACTGCTACGAAAATGGCCTATTAGCACGTGCTGTCCATGTCAATGCTAAAGCCATATTATTCCTGCTAGATTTGCCACAACGAAAGTCAAACGGCCGTCGTCCTGCCACCACTTAGACAACCCCGTACAGCGACAAATAACGTGCATGTAATTGTGTGTCGCCAGAACCTAAGCCGGTTCCTGCCAGCCAGCCAGACAGCCAGCCAGCCAGCCATCCAGCCATCCAGCCAGGGAGCCAGCCTGCCCAGCATCATCATCAGCCCGTGGCCACTTTTGCTGCTGCCACTTAAAAATCCACTTAATCCCGCCGTCTTACAAAGAAAAAAGAAACGAAATAAAAACGAAAGCCAGCGTAGAACTTTTCCTTCAGCTTTTTTTTCTCTGTTTTCTTTTTTTGCTGCCGGTGCCGCTTTTACGGCCTTCATTTCAGCATACTCTGATGTTCATATTCTCCGGCTGCCCCCCAACTCTTACCTCTATACATAGACTCGCTGGCGTATTCAAACTGCAAGTCGATTGTTATTTTTACGCCAGGGGCGGAAATAGACGACGTCGTGGCCCTCGTTGTCGTACTTGCTGCGAGTTCCTGCCTGTTTTGGTTCGGGGTCTGGGGTTTTTGGGGTCCGATGTACATTTACAAACCGGCAGCAAAACTTTAAGACAACTTTGTCGGAACCAACAGAGGCTCAACAAAAAAAGAAATTTTGGCATTTACCCCCTTTATAAATATGCGAGTGTGCGTGCGTGTGTGTGTGTGTGTGTATGTGTGTGTGTGTGCCGCCATTGCTGAAAGTGCTCGTTGAGTAATTTAAAAGTTTGACGCTGCCTCCGGCCAAAAGTTCTGGCTGTCGAACGCCTCGTATTGAGGTCAAATTGATTTTGCATAATGCTAAAGCCGGTTGAATTTAAATCACTTTTATTATAATAACAATCCATGATCATAATGAAGTACTTGGCTGCGGCTCTTCTTCTTGTTGTTGCTCGTGTTGCTGTTCATTGTATTGTTATTGACTGTATTGTAGTTGCTGTTGTTGTTGTTATTGTTGTTGCTGCTGCTGCTGCTGCTTTGCACGCCATTGATTGGCGCCGAAGTACGAAATTCTTCAACATTTTTCACTTCCTGCAAAACTTGTATTTTTCAGCTTAGCTGCAGCTTTCTCAACTTTTTCTGTTCCCCCCTTTTCTTAAGCCGATTGAAGGGGTACATTCATTTTTATATAAGCTTTGCGTATCAGGAAAAATAGATAGCAACAGATAACTCTTGACACATTCAACTTTCTGGATTAAATACCCATTAGCTTATAGTGTTTAATTTATAAATAAATAAATAAAAATTAAATTAAAATAGCTAGAGCTATTTGCTCTATTTTGGTTACCTTTATTATTCATATATTTAAATAAATTTATTAAATAACATAAACAGTTGCAGGAATATCTAGAAACAGTAACCTTTTAAAAGACAAACGTGAGCCTCCATATATAGTATTAAAAAAAAAGGATGCCCTATCGCTTAGTTTTGTTTGGCTCAGAAATGATTTGTTAATTTACTGCTGTAATTTTCCCTTCTTAAGTTTTTGGCCAGAAGATTTTGTTAGGAAAAGCTCTACTTTTAATTTATATTTAAAACTAAATTTTTAAGGCTTAGCATATTGAAAGCTTTTTATAATGCCTTTATGTTTAGAGAGAAGCACTGAAAAGGAAATTTTGATCTTATAAATTACTTTAATTACTTTAATATATTTATTTGTATTTTTTACTTATTAATTGCATTTCAATTTATTTTTAAAATTCTTATTTTGTACTGAATAAAACAACAGTTAATATTTTAATGTGAAAAACTATTTCCATGCCAGGGTATAGAGTCTTCGTTGGGGCAAGTGTAAATTTCTTGCTGCTCTTTTGCATGTTTCGGCAATTTCTATGTAATTCCAGAGGAAAGGGGCACACAACATCGTTTGGCACATGTTAAGATCCAAGAATAGCATCGAGACCGGGCAAAGGGCCCACCCAATCGTTTTATGGCTCTCGTGACCCCAAACAAGATTAGTGTTGCCAACTAAATCCGCTTTTATTGCCGGGCAGCGCATTAAATATTCCTGCTTCATTGGACTGCTACTTTTCATCGTTTGATTGGACGAGCGTCTGGGCCGGCCAGTATTGTGATTTGCTTTACAATTCAGTCACGCCTTTCAGCCATTTCTATGCGTTTTTCCGCTTCGTCACTGTAGCGGCAAAAGTGTTTTAATTAATTTTTGAATGTCCTCGCAACAAAGTTCAAAGGCATGGTCCCTAATGGTAATACGAAAAGCCTTTGGCTCAAATGCAAATCGACTTGGCGACAATCGCGCTTCCGCCGTCGGCATCGTTTAGCTCAACCGTATCCGCATCCGGCCCTTGTGCTGCCAATTTGTCGCATGCGTTAATTCATGTTTGCTTAGTCTCGGTTTTCACTTGTCGCAGTCGCCCTTCTCTGAACCGGGGAATTAGCATATTTGGCAATTGTTTTTGCTTGGAATTGTACACCCACCTACTAGCTACTTGTACTTGCCAGTGGCCTTATTTATTTTAATTTTAATTTTCACTTGGGACGAGCGGGCAAGTCAACTGTCAGTTCCACACTTACCTTTCATCAGCAATTTTGAGTGAACAGAGCGATGTAAATTGCGAAATAACATTATGTTTATTTATGCGTTATTTAGCAGAGTTTTTTAATATGTTATTAGCTTACCTTAACTTATTTAGCGACTTTTGAATAACTGAAGAGTGCAGGATTGTAAAATCTTCTATATTAACTTCCAGTTTTAGAACGACGCGAGAATTCATCTTATTTGTGCATTATTTCTGCAGAAGCGTTCAGAAATTGTCTTCCATTTTACCCACTTGTGGGCTGAATTGCCCATCATTCCCTGCTAGCTTCACCACCAAATGAAACTTTTGTCTAATTTGCACGCTTTCCCTAAACCAGAGGCAATAAGCTCCTTATGTATATTCGATAGTGTAGGTGTGAACGAATATGAATCATATTTACTTGATTCCCTTTGTTTGCATGCTCAAGTGCTCCCACATGCCTCTCCAATTTGATACAATTTTTCGTTCATAAGCATCTTAAGATGTAGAACTTGCATAAAATTTGACTTGGCAGTGGCTTATGTGGCATCTCAAAGTTATGCTTAGGGACGAGTTTTTGGCACATACTCGTAGTCGTATTCAATTAGAGCTGCAACTTGAAAAGTTCAACGTCAATTTGTATGAGTTTGGAGCAGTGCAAAAGATTTCATTAATATTAAAAGAAATTCTTTATGTGGACAAAAATGAAGCGTTTGTTGCTGAAGCTTCCTAGCAAAAGTTCTTCGTCCACACACCCACAGAGGCAGCCAGCTGTGCAATTTGCTGGCAGAACTCAACAATTTGTATCTGAGCTGCGTAAGGCAGCCAAGTTTGGGTTGCGGGCTCTTCTTGTTATTGCTATTGTTTTTGTTTTTGTTGTTGCAAGTTGCTGCAGCTGGCGACTGCGAAAGCAGAACTCCTACTGTGAAGTGCTGCCAGTTGTTCAAACTTTTGCTGAAGAGCTGCAATGCAATTGCCAACTTGGCAGCAATGGGATGCACTTGAATGTGTGCGTGAGTGATTGATAATATCTTTGTAAATGCATGTGTGTGTGTGTGTGTGTGTGTGTGTATGTGTGCGTACGAGTATTAGGAGGCACTTGTTGTGCCCCAACTCAGTTGAGTGAGTATGTCTGTCTCACTAATGACCAAGTGACGGGTGCATTTATGTAGCCCCTTCTATTATATACTTTTCCTTATTATTATTTTATCAAAGAGGAAAATACTAGTAGGATATCAAAGCCGCCTTTAGTCACAAATTATTGAATATTGCTTTTCGTTTGGTATCCTCACACTTCTCAGAATTAATATTCTCATTTAAAACCAGAATGTGTTATCAATTATTGTTTTTAAAGGGGTTTAGCTTTTCCACACGAATTCATATTTTTGTGCACTTTAGGGCTTATTTTTTTAAACCCCAATTTAGTACTAATTTAAATAATTTAATAATATAAAATGTTAAGTACATTTTCGGGGATTAATAATCAGGTATATTAACAGAGCCACTTTATTAATTTATATAAAAACTTCAACTCAGCAATTCTTTTCCTACTGATTTAAAAGAATATACAATTGCTATTAATTATATTATTATTATTAGAAACCATAGATTTTAATATAAAATCAATTTTAGGGCAAAAAAAGATAAAAGATTAGTATGAATAGACACTCTATTATGATACTTTAAAAACAACAATAATCTCATATTAAAAGCTCTTTAAACGCTCAGTGAACGAGCTAGATCAGCGTCCCTTATCTGAAATCTAGAAAAACAAAAGGTATGAATTGCTGTTACTGTATGCCTTTCTATGCGTACCTCCATTTTCTTCAACTGGTTTTTAACAATTTCACACTGTTGATCTTCATCATTGTTATCACTAAGCTCGCCCTCTTCCAAATCATCATCATCGGCGGTTTCCCCAACAATGACAGGTGATTCGAATACGGGCAGTGGCGCCATGAACTGCCATGGCACCACGTTCTCTCTCTCAGCTTTTTGGGGCAGTATTTCCTCATATTCCATCTCATATTCCTCATCAATTTCACCCTCCTCCAGTTCATAGTTACCTGTGCCGATCATCGGATTCGTCTGTGGTCCATTTACCAATGGTTGCGGCTTGTACAATGCGTTCGACTTCAGCACCACTTCATAGTCTCCCAATGGATTGAGGACCCAAAACAATGTCAACAGGTCGGAGCTAACGAACATCAGGTAGCGCGGATTGAAGCAAAGACAACGTATGGGACCCGCATTGTTGCCTTTTAGTACCGCCAGCTGTTCGCCATCGGAAGCACGCCAGACGTGCACCCGCCCGGCATCGGCGCCCGATAAAACAAACTTCGAATCGGGAGTATAACACACCTGCAAATCCAAACGCTTCTCGTTCGCATAGCCCGTGTAGGCCTGGCGAAAGTGTCCATCGAAGGCGTCCACACTGAAGCACCAGGAATGATCGGTTGCTAGAAGTAACGACCGACCATCGGGCGAAAACTGCATCTGTGTCCAGTTGGCCAGCTTATTGGAACTATACTTGAAACTCAGGCAAGGCAGCTCGTTCAGCATTCGGACATCATGCAGATCTATTCGCTCCGTTCCCGAGCTTACGGCAAAGACTAGACCGGCGGGATCGTAAGCCAACAGCGGTCGTCGCAGATTTGAAAACTGGTGCGTATAAGTGTGAGTGCGAATGTCCCACAACAATATCTGATTATCATATCCAGCGCTCATGAAGTGATATTCACAGTTCGGCTGAAAGCGTAATGCATTCACCTTATCCACATGCCCGCTGAATAGACGCAAGTGGACGCCAGTGTTCAGATCCAGGCAGCGTATGCTACCATCCAGCTGCATGCCACGCTACCAATATTAAAAGAACACGATCACGAAACTCGGGTGGCACTCACCTTGCCGGCACTGTGCAGCACACGATCCGAGTTCGGTGTAAAACGCGCCACCTCGGGCTGATAGCTCTTCATCGATATTTGGAACAGCTGTTCCGGACGCATGCAATTATAGAGCGTGAGAGCGTCGATGTCGCAGACGAGCAGACGCGACCCATCACTGGAGAAGTCCAGCGAGCTTTTGTGCTGATCGGTCTCCTGAAAAAGTTTGCCCACACGAAACTCCCGCATGGCAGCATCGTTCAAATTGATGCGCATTTTAAAATCTCTAGACCCCAACAAAATATTTTCGGTCAACTACTGTCAACGATTATTGAAAATTATTACTGAAAATTATTACTAGCCTGCCTAGGGTCGGTCTGAAAGTTGAATATTTTGAACAAATTAAGCTGTTGACTAGGCAGTTCGGGGTCGAGTTGGATCTTTACAAGAAAGGTAAGATTTCATCGAATTAATTGAGATTAGCGATTCTACATTTCTTTTCTTACAAAAGCCTGCAAAAATTGTGAACATTTCGACAGTTGATTCACAAAGCTCGTGGGACTTAGATGTGAAACAACTAAAGGCTTTTGGTTAGCTGAAGGACACACCATCAGGATCAAACAATTTCGCGCTTAAGCAATTTAAGGCTGGCAGCATACAAATTCGGAATCCACAGTTTTCACGTAGGCGTCGAGTCAGCTCGTCGCGGCATCGTCCACTTCAACTTAATTAAATCAAATGTCCAACTAAACGCCCACAGCGCCCTGTCGGCTTCAGTCACAGCCGCTGCGTTCGTGCATTTTAATTTCAATTTGGGGCTGCTGGTGCGGATGTTGGTGCCGCATTCATCCTTGGACTTCTTCATTGCGCTTCATTAGACTGACTGCTGGCGGATGAGACAGCGAATCTTTTAAATCGACTGCTGAGTTGGCAACGCAGTTTGCGCAACTTGTTGACCAACTGCCAGCAGCTTGTTATTTAGGCCGATTTGCGTCATTAGTGCAGCATCAGCTGCGATGATGCTGTGGGGGGTCTAGACATTATTCGCATTTGTGGTTAGGTATGGCTGATTGTTTTATGCCATCAGTAACTGTCTGGTGGGCACTCGGCCAAAAATAAGCACGCTGCCACATTGCCGGTGATTTAAAAAATGTTTGCTTATGTTAATAACATTTGCCAACACAAATGTGCTCAAGGTGTGTTTTGAAGCTTTTTATACAGCTTCAATTTGCAACCAATTGTTGAAGAGCATGCAAGAAGAGTATCATTATTGATTCTACAAAACGAATGAATTAAATCCCTCAAAGTGAGGGAAATTCGATTTTTGCTCAAGTTCCGCTCTGTGAGATATTACATTTTTTAAAACATTCTTTACATATCGATTTCAATCAATTCATGCCGTTAAAAAAATATTACAAGCAATCTGTACACTGCTAATGAAAACATTTTTCGGCCATCCTTCAATAGCATAGCTGTCATCCATCAAATTTGTTTATGCAACGCAAACGTGATTTTGCAAAAACAGAAAAAACAGAAATGTTGACTGTTGCCATAGACACAGTTGTTGCCAAATGATTATGCGGCTCAGGCGCAACAACTGGCGCTGCCAAAACAAAACAGGCAAATGTAATTGTAATGTAAGCGGAAATAAGCACAGCAAATACACGGGGCTCTGGCAATGGCCCTCTCCAGCGCCCGGCGGATCGCTGGCAACGTGCATTTTAATTAAAATTTATAAGCCTTGGCCGGGGATTTGGCAGCAGTGCGACAGGATAGGCGACCACAGCAACTGCCACTTCCAACGGATCGCCAGTCAAGAAGGCCCCGCGTGGCGTTTTAAGCTTTTAAGTTGTGGTAGATTTGCAAGGCCGAGCAAACGGCCGTACGGCTATACTGCCATACAGCCGACCGCCCGACATCGCCGGATTTGATGTGAAAATCAACTGTGGCTGCGGTGTGCATAAATTAAAAATCAAGCCACAAACACACACAAAACCATTATACTTGTATATATACACACACCTATACATAAGTCCCTTTGTGCGCATCATTTGTAATTAATTTGCCGCATTAGCTTTATTTTTCATTCTCCCAACTGTGTTTGTTTTCAATATAAAAATGCAAAAACCGCGCAATTTCCGCATTTGCGGCTTTCCCTGTCAAATTTTATCATTTTATTAAGCTCCAAATTATTTTCGGCTATAATTTTAATGGATTTCCATATAATTGTTTTTCTGTTTGCAAATCTATAATTGAATTGAGTTGCTTTTTATTATCAAACAATTCAAAAGCAACAAGCATTTAAGGACAATACTCAACACAACACATCTGGTATGGAATAACATTAATTGTCTACTATTTGAAACACTATTTGTCAGCCGTGCTTTTACTCTGACAGCCAACAGCTTGGACAGAATATCAGTGTTTAATAGACATTTAGTAGAAATGAATAACATATGTTTGCATATGTATATAAATAGTTGCATTGATCTGCCAAATCTAATTAGAAATTGTTTAATTGTTTATATTAAAAAATAGAATTCAAGAAACTATTATAAATTTTGTTACATCCTAGACAAATATGAAAATATCATCAATAGGAAATTTAATTAGCAATATCAATCCAAAAAATTCGTATCTCTGCACTCCTTCCAGCTGAGTGGAACATAAACATATTATATCTAATGCCAAAGTCTCTATAAAAGGTATTATCTTCCATACCATTATTTTATTAAAACCTCATCAACTATGCTTATTGAATTCGAAAATAATTAATAATAACAATTGGCAGCACAGTTTTTAAATTTGTTTTCAAATTTGAACAAAAAGGTGAAGGGCATCTCAAAAAATGTTACCTTGTCCTTGTCTGGGCCTTAGTGTCTGATAGAGTCTGTTTTGTGGGCATTGAAACAAGAAAAGATAACGTTAATTATTATTGTTGTACTTGTAAAATTTCAAAAACCCAAAGCCCAAAAGTAGGCAACATGTTTTTTTACAATTTGTGAGCCACAATGAAATGACGGACTCTCGCCAATCCTATTTAACATGCGAATGTGCAAAATTTTCAACTTTTTGATAGCAAAAGTAAATGAAATGCCTCTTGAAAACAAAATCTTCTGACTCTTGAAACTAAATTTCCGATTAGGGCGCAAAAAATATGGGAACTTGCTAAACGCAAATCACAACTTTTGCCATCTTCATATTTTCTTAAAAGGTAAATTCCCATTCATTTTATATATGATTGTATTGCGCTAATTGGGAATAATACAAGAATCATGATAATCTGTTGAAATGTGTGTGCAAATTGCTATAACCTTCCCATATTTCATATTACATATTGTCCAAACTATGTATTGAAATTATAAATGCAGATTATTGAACTATTTAGGTGCCTTTAAAATCATTTCCTGTACAGATAATGCTGTCAAAATTGCAATTTGAGGAGCACGCGCATTTTCAACCGCCAGTTATTCGCATCCACATTCCGGCTAAGCCACAATCCACAGATTAATCCATTTGATTAGCCAGAAATCGACATCGTGCCACATTGCAAACAAGCACACAAAGCAACACCTACACACCCACATCCACACCCACACCCACACATATGCATGTATGCCTGCATAAATATGCGCATATTTTCACATCTCTTGTCCACTTGGCAGCATCATTTCAACCGTTTGTCTGCCAACTGTTTATTGATATTTTATGCACCATTTTATGCTAAAACATACACACACACACCCACCCACATGCACAGAAATCAGTGTGGGTGTGTAAAACTAATTGTGGAGGCATTTGCATAACACGAATTTCAAATTTAATTGTTGGCAGCGGCAGCGACCTAAACTGAATTTTCATACAAATTTGAATGCCATTTCGCAGAAAAAAATAAACATTGCAAACTATTATAAATCTAACGGAGAGCAGCAAAAATTTGCCAAATGATTTGTTTTTATTTTCATTCTCGATATGCCCGATTTAATTGCGAACACGCGCCATATTGTTGCGTGCATGCATAAATTGATTTGCAAATTTGCATTCTACATGTTTTTCAGCATTTAATTGTTTTTGGTTTTTTTTTTTCTACGTTAAAAAGTATTCACAAAATGGCACAGCATTTAAGCATTTGCTTTTGTTTTGGTGTATGTGTGTGTGTGTGTGTGTGTGTGTGTGTGCGTGTGTGTGTGTGTGGGTGTTATGTTCGGACAACCGAAACTAGTACAAGTGAGCCAAAGTGCAATTTGTTGTCAAGTTTCTATGAATTTCTTAAAAGCATATAAATGTTATAGCCACACACACATTCTCATATACATGTACTGTATACGGGTGAGGGGCAGGAATACGTGCGTTTGGTATGTCAACTTTATTACGATCCTGCTTTAACGTTATACCAGTGCGAGTATGTGTGCGGGCAATCATTCAAGCTTCAGCATTTCGGTTGCCATTTTTGGGGCGAAGAAAATGAAGGCTGCTAAAAATTTGTGCAAATTTTTCAATCAGTGTGCGAGATTAAGCGTAGCCATGTACATATGGGGGAGGCGCCGACAAAGAAAGCAACCCAGCACAGTTCGCACGCCGGCAAAGTGAGTCAAACCAAAGCCAAAGTTCAAACACAATTCCTCAAATATGCAGGAGCATGTGCAGCTGAATACATGCATATACTCACTTAGTGATGACAGCGTGACACAAGCAAATCACTCAAACGTTTATGCGAAAGCCAAAGGAATATAAGCCACTGCTATTCAAGGAGACCAGTAAGCTCCACAATCTCTAAAGATTATTCGCTTTCTTTATAATGGTAACTAAAATCCTTTAAAAAGCCTAACTGACTAACTTCTAAAAGATTGCAACCTTTCTAATCTAACTATAGACGGTTCAATATCGTTCAATAAAAATTCGATAAAAATAAAAAAAATTGGATTGAAAATTCTCATTCCAAAGAAGAATAATTCAATAATTTTAAGCCTTCGAATTGTTTTCACATTTTAGATGTTTAAGAAACTTTCTAATTACGGTTGAGTAAAGTAAATTGAAAACGATTAAGCATTAATATGAAAAGCGCTAATATGTTAAACATTGGAATAGCTCCTCATCTCTAATACTCGTACATATCCTGTGGGTGTGCGCCTGCCTGATGCGTTGCCCATCTCTGCCTGCACCTCTGAAATTGAATGCCCGCCTTTCATGCCGTAAAATAAGATAAATGACAGAAGTGAGTCGTATCAGGCACAGACCCAGGCACAGGCACAGACGCAGACCCAAGCCCAGTCCCAGTC